TAATTAAGTAGTCATTTTTTACCGACCAAAAAGAAGTTCATTCAAAAGCCGACATCCTGGCGAGTCCGAGACGTTATAGGGTTTTGCCGCATGATAATCAGTTATAACAACCCCACTTAACTAATCCTTCCCAATCGGAAACGCACTCCCGAATTTTGGCCAACATTTCATGAGATCGGTCACGCACTGTACGTATGTTGTATGTTTGATTTTTCGGAAAATGCAGACTACCTGACTGAGCCCCTAGTCAGAGTAAATCCAGGATTACATTGACGGCAGATGATAAAAAACACTTTTGCTTCTATGAAGACGCTCTACAGCCAACAGCGCACTGGAGCCCCTACGACGTCCAGTCCGAATTGACGGTTGGGCTAAGCACTTCGGAAACGTATTTAAGTACCTATCTCCAACCACTGAAAATATTACCAGTAAACGTCCAAAAAATCACATCAGCACTGACCCTGATTTGTTCCTCTTTCTACAGGCGGCTATAAGTATGTTTTATCAGCTTCTAAACGTCCATGCTCCGAAGGCCATCTGGGTGGTCCTCAGTTCTACAAAAATCAACTCATTTGCTTCAGGAAAAATTGAGGCTTGTGCATACGGAAAAAATTACGTCTGGATTATTCTCTACTGATTGGCTTTACGTCAGGAATAAGGACTCTGCTGAAGGCGCAGTAGGAATTCCTCTAAAGCCGATATTACGACCTTCATGTCCTCAGCGACGACAAATGACAGTTCGTCCGTCGTTGCCGACGATGTCCATCATGTGCTCCAAAACAAGGTGAGAGCAGGTACGGCGACTTTCGCGTGATTTAGTTTACAGTGAATGTGGACTTGCGTTGCATCCACCGCACTCCTCTCTTCCCCACTCCCCACCTGGACCCGGTGTCAAGACAGAGTCAAGAAGATCGGGGATGGGGAGGGCGCAGTTGGGTGGCACGGTCGTATCCGCACCTTAGCGCTCCACCCCGCACTCTCTGGTCCACGCAGCAAATGACCCGGATTTTAACCAACAACAACAGAAGGGGCTGGTGCGGCCAAGGCCGTCACCAAATAATGGATATACGTCTGTATGTTATTACCGACAAAGACGAGGGAGACTGGAATGGCCATTTCTGGCTTATTAGCCGTCGTCAGCTAGTCATGCTCAACCCCGAAGTGTGGAACACCTGGGGCTCGAACTCGCGACATGTTAGTTAGAAGTCCGAAACCTCTAACCACTGAGCCACGGGCTCGTTGCCCTGTCGGTTTCGATCGGGAATACACAATGCTAGGGGTGCGCTCATAAATCGTCCTTACAGAACGAGTGAGTTTCGCATGAACGATCGGTGGGATCCCCCCTACCAGTGGATATACGTTTGACATACGAAATGTGGGAAAATCTAAATATCGTATTGAGATCTTGAGAAGGTAAACGAGATATGACCGTGGCTGAAATGGGTTAATCAGAGTCCTCTGAGTGGATCACTTAAGTTTTCCTGGCGAGTGCTACTCTGGTTCCAGTTGAAAAATGGATTTGACAAACGGAACAATTACGATTGAAGACTAGATAAAAGATGTACATTTGCACTTCGTGGCTCGCCTCGTTCAGTAAAAGCTGTCTATACGTTTACAAGACCCCTTTTGGGAGCAGTCTTCGCCTCGAAGTGGTTGTCACTTAAGTTATCGACATGGCCAACCACCAAGTGCTTGCGGGGTTTGCTCAAAGTTCGATACTTCCCTGGGAACAATACAAACCACAGTGTTGTTCTTGATGTCCATTCAGTAAGTCTGAAAACATATCCCACTGGCCCTTCCAAAGGCAAAACCAGAGCATAATGACGACAACACGTTATTTGGGTTTTCCACGGTCTCTTTTTGTCTTTTTAGCATTAAATCGAAATACTTGCTATCGCATATTTACGTGATAATGCCGCTTTACGGTGTACAACGGGTTTGCGGAGAACCATGCGTTTAACCAAAACAATAATCCAATGATGGTTACTAATAAGATGGTAGTAACCAAAACGTATTGTAATTTATTCACAAAAAGGCCGCCACCATCAGAAGTCCCCGTATTTAGCACAAAAAGCCATGAGCTACATATTAAGAACCTTGATAAATGCGACTGTGAAGTCTGGCAAAAATGGAGAAGACGATTGCAATTGACGACCACACTGCGGGGACTTTGTGCAAAGGACTTGGAGAGGTATTTTCGGCAGTGGCGGCACAGGCACTATCCTCTAAGTGAAGGTGATGGGTATGGAATACCTCGAAATCTGGGTCGTACGCACGCAGAAACGAGAACTTACGATTTACCTTATTGGATTCAGATATCTTTGCTGAATATACTGTAGCAACTAGTTCGGTGTTTTTAAAACCTGACAAATCTTGCGGGGTTTCTTTCAGAGACAGTTGAAACATTCAAGTGCAAACTAGATGCTTTCCAAAATTGTCGTTGTGAGAACTGATTCTATTGTTATTTTCGGACATACATGTGGAGCTCAGGGAAATGGCCCTCTAGACTTCGTATTGCCGCTCCTTTGGGCGTCATTTATTCGCTCGGCGCTTACTTTTCTCGATATAGTGACTGGGAAAACCATTAACTGCGAAGAGGTTCAGTGCTTTTGTCTGATAGCGTGCTGTAGTGCGTTTTAATTTTTCGGAATAGAATGCGCACACAGCTATCTCTGTAAGACAGAGGGTGATTGCTGTTAAAGTGTTGCAGTTGACTCATGCCGGTGGATTTCCTGATTACTGTAGTTTGCAGTTGTCCAGTTGCACATCGGCGCACAAGCACGTCAAGGAAGGACGGTTTGTTGTTTGCATCAGCTTTCGTCATAAGCTGAGTATTCGAGTCAGTCGAGTTCAGTAATGTCAGTCGTTTTGATAACGACGAATGCATCGTCGACATAGTGAGCCCAGAACTCTGATTGATACTTGGTGAACACCGGGTGTTCTATCCGCTGACCGACTGCCGCAGCAATCAGGCCTGACAGAGGGGAGCTCATAGGAGTGCCTTCAATTTGTTCGTACATTTGTCCGCCAAAGTTGAAATAGGTCTCGAGGCAGTGTTTTAAAAACCCGAGCAGACGTTCGGACTTCAGGAATACCTTCATCTCCTCATAGAGCTCAGCCGGTAGATGGGTTCACTACGTCTCTTGCTAGATGCTGCGGAACGGAGGTGAAAAGTGAAGCGACATCAAAGGATGCCGTGGATTTGTCTGATTCTAACTTCAGGTGTCTTATGCACTCGAGGAATTGATTCGCGGATGCTATGGTTATTGCTGAGTATTTGGCTAAAAACTTAAGACGGCCGAACGGCCATATTGCCAAACTATTTGTCTGAGTGCCATGAAGGGATACGCTTTGCCTGATTGGTACAGTTGTCTTGTTCGCCTTCGGCAGACTGCGAATTTAGCTGTAATAGAGTCAGTGAGTTTCATCGAGAAGCAGTCCCTGGGTGTAATCGTCCCACTGACTCTTTTATCCTACTCAGCATCAATATCCATCTGTCTTACAAACGCAACTATATAGGCAGAATAGTATTACCGACAAAGACAAGGGAGACTGGAATGGTCATTTCTGGCTTATTAGCCGTCGTCAGCCAGCCATACCCAAGCTTGAAGTGCGGCTGCTGGTTGGGCTCGAGAGAGAGCCCTTAAGGCACAACGGAACGAGTGAGTTCCGTAAGAACGATCGGTGAGCGCCCCCTACCAAGCGCAACTATATCCGCAATCTATTCCAAAGGGCTGAAACGGACTACAGAGCGCCAGCAGACAAGTGGGCCCTACGAATGTGCCTTCAGGACCTATTCAGGGTTGGTGGTTATCCCTGCCTTTTTATCGAGATAAGCGGACGCCGAAAGAAGTCTGGAGGGCCATTCCCTACATTAAAGGGGCCTCGGGGGTGGTCTTGACTGTTCCAACCCGTTAGAGCAGGCAGAGCCGATCGACCTCAGGCAACAAGTCGACGCTGTTTGATGCAACCGAAGAACACGCTGCCATCCACTGAAACCTGAACAATTACTTACAAAATAAGTTACAATGATGGGGACTGTAACTGCGTTGGGGAAACCGGACGGAAATGGCAGACCCGCCTGCAAGGGCATAAATCGGCAACTGGGAGGCTAGACTCGAACTCTCAACCTGTAGTGCATGTCGGAGAAACCAACCATACGTTCGATCTCCAGGGAGCTACCATCTTGGGTCGGGGAAACTCAAAGGCACACCGGCTCACACTTGAGAAGTGGTCCTCAAATATCAACTCCATCAAGGGGCATATAGACCTTCTTGCAGCTTACAAAGTCCTGCGCCATTATTTTCACAAAGCTCTGGACAAGACGGTCGTGAAGACAGCCCGATGACGAGCTCACTCGACGAGGAAGAAAAAAGAGCCGCTAGACCGACAAACCCCGACAGAGGCTAGGCCACCATCCCCCCTCCCGACGAGTTGGTGACTCATAACGCACGCGGCTAAAAAGTCCGCCAAACATCACCCGAAAGGCTGAGGCAGCGAGAGGAGAAAAATCGATCATCACGAGGCCGACTAGCGCGGCATGACACTTCCATTTCTGCCAGACTGAGGACAGCTTACGCTTTGGCAATAGTCAGTCAATCAAGCTTTCCGAAATGTCAGCGTTTCAATAAACCTGCTGTGGAGGGCCCTTCTTATTTGTCAAATTATGAACCCGGGTCTCTCAACTTTGTCAATCTGCGCAGCCTTATTTGTGCTTCTACTGAGAGGAGTGTTTGTTTACAACTGCAAAAACACAATTGTAGCTACAGGGTTGTCCAGCCCGGTGCCTTTACCAAAGTCAGCTCTTCGCTGTGCCTGTTCGCCAATCCGCGCTTTCCTGCCCTAGCTGGGTATTTAGGGCGCGGTGACATGCCACCGACGCGCGCTCTGATTGGTCAGTGGCGGTAGAGCAATTCGCCACCACATCAGACAGGTGTGTTACGCACTTGCAAAGGAGTCATTTGCGCCCATCGTTCCGTGTTAAAGCAACATCACCAGTAATGCCTTCGCCTCGGCGCCAGCTACCTTTCCCCATTCTTGCCATCTTCGTTTTATGCCTCAAGTCCGACCTTGTCCGCGGCAGCGAGTGTGCGCTGGGTTATAACAAATCAAGCACCGGCTCCTGTTACCGAATCCTGACAGCTGGCAAGGATTTCTGTTCTGCCGCCAGTTACTGTCTGCTGGAGCAGGGTATGCGTCTGAAGCATCGCGTCTCTCTGCCCGTGGGGGACATCTCAGGTCTCCTTGCGAGCCTCCACCTCCCCACCCAGTCCTGGGTCGGAGCAGTTACGGTGGGCACGAGGGAGGCGGAGCTGCAGAATCTCTCCGTTCAACTCATTTTTCCCCGTGCACGTGGCAGCCCCCTGCCCGATCACATACTGACGAAGCTACCGCCGTCCCCACCGACGGTGGGCCAGTGTCTTGCAGCCAGTGACGCCGTCACCTTCCGTCTGGTTGACTGCAGCATCCAACTGCCCTTCCTGTGCGAGTATGAGCCTGACGGTGGGGTGGAGGTGTATGGAGGCGGTGGGGAGGTGAACAGTCAACCGCCAGTCGTAAATGCGCGCTTTGACAGAGACTTCCCACTTCCGGTTGGTGAGTCGAGTGACAGCAGAGATGCCCACCTGAGCTGTCTGCAGAGGGCGACAGGTCGACACTCACGGTATTCCTGTGCTGCGGAGTAAGTTCCAGTCCCAATTTTTTTTTCTGGGTCCTCTTAATGGAACGGATACCACTCTGCGCTGACGCAGTCGTGAAAAACTCGGCGTTCTCGATGGTATATGGGTACAGGATAGCAAAAGACAAGGCTCGAGTTCAGCCAACGCCGAGCTACGAGGCCCCTAACAAAAACTGTGAATTTAATCACATTTGAGTCAAGTGACTCACCCATCCTAGCCTGCGGTAACATGTGGAATCCACACCAATTGCGGACCGGTTAAATGACTGGCCAGGCAGGATTATCTAGTTAATCGATCTAGAATTGATCAGATAACTACCAGGCTCTCTTAATTAATAGGTGCTGCTGGGAGATTTGAATCGTCCATCTGACTAGCAAGGCGTTTTCGTTGGGATGGGGCAGATATCGTGCATGTACAGAAGATGTGCTATCTCATGAAATATTGACGAAAGTTCTAGAATGCGTCTTTAATTTAAAAAAAATCACTCAAACACCTTTGTCATTTTGCCTATCGTGTTGCATAGAACCAAGATATTTCGGTCTCACCAGGAATCCGGCTTTCGAACGAGCTCCTTTCTCGACCATTTGCATAGGCTACATTTGCTAAAAGATGAGTACTTCAGCAGAATGTTTTTATTCATTGGTTTTAGATGCTCTTATAAATTTAAACATATTTTATAGAAAAAATGCACAAAAATATTCACTTTTTACTCAATTAGTAGCAAGTTACGCCTTCAAATTTTATACCTGAATAATGAATATATTTTGTTTTTAAAAAGTTTCTAATCAAGAGATTCTTGAAGACTGTGGAATGTCCAATCGTAGAGCACCACATCAGCACATTTATTAATGCTGCTTATAAAGTGGACAATGTGATCTACATCCATTGCAAAGTTTTTTGAGCCGCGTAGGTCTTCTTCATAATAGCATATAGAAATATAAAATTTTCACTGCATAAAAAGTTACAGCTTGTAGTTCGGAAACTCTGAACGTAAGCGTAACGGTAGGTCGGGTTCACAATTATTTGAAAATTGAGAGTTTTTTAAAACCAAAAGATACTCTTTTTTAAGCAGCAAGTTTAAAAAAGACGTAACTTGCAACCAATTGAGTAAAATAAAGAATATTTCTGTACACTTTTCTTCTATTAACTATAAATGGCAGTCACTTTTGTCCTGGACAGTTAAAAATTTGAATATTAGGGTAATTACGAATGTGGTCCTTATCAGATCAGTCTAAATCCAGTTAATATCATTCAGCCGCCAGCGGGGAAAGTTTGAAAATTTTGCATCCTTAAAATAAGTGGACTCAATAGTAACGACTAGAGAATTATTGTCCTTACGTTTTGGATCTATGCAAAAAGCCATCATCGTAAACATGTAAACACCTGTCGAGGCACGACATCAAGGAGCAATGTTGTCACGCCACCATCTCGCCATTTGCCAAAATTGGCGGTGAAACATGACGATCAACGTCTCCGACTTGGCCAACAAAACAGATAGCGCGCTAAGTACGACCATTCTCGATGAATCTGGACCCCACCAATAAATTCCGTCAGTGATAAATCACATGGAACATTCATCCAAATTCCGTAGATCCTTCTTGACTAAAAGGGAGTAATCGAGTAGGGATGTGCCATTGATTATCCTGCGACATAATCCCACGATATTCCAGACACACCGGGAACCTGGAATGTGAACGCATTACATTCTGACCGTCTACTAAAAGCGCATTCGATAAACAATGGCTTGCAGCCATTTAATTTCCCCACAAATTAATAAGTAACTTGGAATAAATCGGTCTGAATTAAAATTTTTATGTCCAGGCTGAAACTTAGTATGAAAATTTGGGCCGAATTCCAACGGCCATGGAGGATTAATGGCGTTATATTCATTAACGGCAAACAGACAGCCAGTGATATATAGACAAGTTATATGAAACATAATATCTTATAGCACAGGTATCGGGGTTTTAGTTAGTACATGTGCTGTCAGGTGTGGCGTATCATGTGACCCAGCAAAAATCAATGGCAATTTAATAAGTACGCATTTTCCATCGATTTTCGATGTTCACATACATTCAAGTTACATTATAGAAAACGTGGTCAAAATACTTTCCCTTGCATTCATTTGATAGAAAATCGCACCTTCTTCTCCTTCCTCTTCTTCGTTCTTCTTCTTCTTCTTCTTCTTCAGCTTCATCTTATTTTTTTTTCTTCTTCTTCTTCTCCTTCTACTCCTTCTCGTTTTCTTTTTCCTCCGAAAAGCCGAGGTATGACACGTAGACTTACCGCCGAAAAATATTGGTGACGGTCCCTTCATGACAGAATTTGGGGAAAGGGACCTTTGCCTGGCTTAATCCTGGAGTTCGAGGATGTGGTTCTCCCATGTGACATTGCGTTCAAAATTCCGTCCTTTGTTTTTATTTGGTAGATAGTCATATCTCCTCCATAACCTCTCCTCTCGTTCCCATTATTTTTCATCGTCGTCGTCGTCGTCGTCGTCGTCATCATCATCGTCGTCATCATCATCATCATCATCATCATCATCATCTTCTTCTTCTTCTTTCGAGAAGCGACCAACTGGGCGCTTAAAGCCACATTGATATCATCTGGGAAACGGAGATATGATACGTAGACTTACTGCCGAAAAATATTGGTGACCGTCCGTTCACAGTAGCATTTAGAAAAAAGGACCTTTGCCTGGCTTAGGCCTAGAGTTCAAGGATGTGGCTCTCACATGTTTCCTTGAAGACACAGAAATCTGCACACAGGAATTCGGTTTCGAGTCCCCGGATGTGGTGTGACAAAAGGCTTTTTCACTGTGTTCACAGATATACAAACCACTATTCCAAATCGAATTTTATGCATTAAATTAACTGTAGTAGGGGGCGCTCACCGATCGTTCTTGCGGAACTCACTCGTTCCGTTGTGCCTAACGGGCTCTCTCTCAAGCCCATCCAGCAGTCGCACAGCGGCACTGGTTAGGCAGTATGTTATTGTCGACAAAGACAAGGGAGACTAGAATGGCCATTTCTGACTTATTAGCCGTCGTCGGCCAGTCATACCCAACCCCGAAGTTCGGAACACCCGAGGCTCGAATTCGCGACCTGGTAATTAGAAGTCCACGCTTCTAACCACTGGGCCACGAGCTTCGGGTGTTCCACACTTCGGGGGTGGGTATAACTGACTGACGACGGCTAATAAGCCGGAAATGGCCATTCCAGTCTCCCTTGTCTTTGTCGATAATAACATACGGCCTATAATATTAACTGGCCAAAGGGAGAATTGACCGATTAGGTCTCGCAAGTACGGGGGTGATGTTGGTAGGGATTTGACGTAAAAACCGCCGGATAAAGTCATGGTTGGGTTGGATTTTGAGTAAGATGATGCTTTTTTTGTCTCCTTTAGGTGTGGACGACGAACTGAGTGTCGTGGATTTTTCCACGCAGAAAACACTGGAGATTGCGCGGTGTACAGCTACCTGGATGCCCTTCTACCCGACCAATGGCTGCTCGGAAGAACCTGGATTCGTTACGGGCGAGCGGACGTTTAGCCAAGGTATAAGTCGAAGGAAGCTTATCCACCGAAGGCATGGAATCCTAGCGATGCGCATCCATTTCACCCGATTCCCCTGATAGTATGGTATCTTAAGAAAAGTCTGCCAACTTCATCTCATAACCTGTTCGTTTCGTCCGCTTTCGGCAGGCACAACGATCTTCTCTTTTTGCTGAACCACTCCCCCACATTGCTTGTTCAGTGTCTATGCCATACTGACACCAATGCTGTTCAACTCTTTCTGCAAAAAGATCTGTTGTTACGCAGTGCTGCGACCCAATTAATTGAGCCAATCAGCGTTCGCGAACCTCCGGCGAGTTAGCTATCTCTCTTGTGCGTTCGCCATTGTCGCGGGGAGCCAAAAACGCGGAATTCGGCTAAATGGAGGCTTGGTTGAAGGTCATTTGGAGGTCACCTTTGTTTACTGCGCCCAGAGTGTGCCTTCCGACCTGCCGATATTGATATCTCCATGAGACAATGTGCGGTTTCGTATGACATGCCTAGTCCAAACTGAGGGCGGATTAGGAAGCGCACTTTACTCTGAGTTCTGATCGTCTCCGTGTCAATCAGATTGTCAGTCAATAGGACACGAAAACTGCAACTCCCTCCCGTAGTACAAGCGGCTTAGGGCAAAATTACAATGAGACTAAGATTAGAGTTAAGTTTACGATTGGGGTTAAGGCACGGTAACGGGTACCCTTCCTTGAAGTTAGCGTAAGGCCACGCGTACTGCGGAGGGGGGAGGGAGGGAACTTCCCGTGTCTTGCTAGTCAATCGTACCACGGCATATGTCCCAATTTTGCAAGATCCTACCCATTGATAACAGGTAAGTGAACTCGGATCTTCCACCAGGAAGGTCAAGACAGACGCAGCTGACGTATTTTAAAAAAGCCCTTCCAGTGTTGAGCTGCTGGAGTAAGTGCTAGTAAAGTTTCCTGCGGTTAAGCCGACATATAGAAATCTCACACCTGACTTAACCCGCAGTTCATCTACAAGAAAATCAGTGTAAATAATTAACCTTTCTTTGCCTCGGACTGACAGGATAAGCCTAAAATATACATTGTCAGTGAAAATTAATCATTTTTACGTCAGTAAATATTAACTTACAACCTCAAATGTGTCTTCCTTTTCAAGAGCAGTCCTTCTTTCACTGCCGTTAGACTTTGGGGAACGCAGGTTGGGCGGAATGTGCGTTATAGGGATTTCCTTCTGCTAACTCATGACATTTAATGAGTTAGCACACCTACTGTACAAACTGTTCCTTACCACTTTGAATGACGCTGACGTGCTCGGATAAGGCGCACGACAAAGGCAAGACAAGCAGAGGCTAACACTATGAATCTATGGCAACAATAAGATGTAGGACTCCCCAGGTAGATGATAACTCCAAAATTATACCCTAAAATTCAGTCTGCCTGTAAACATCACTTATTATTCACCGTTTCCATTGTCTGGAATTTCCTCCACTTCCTGACTAAACGTAAACTTACCAGCGACGCTTTATCCATTGTCCGTTATTTTTTGAAAACTGCTTTTTGTCTACTTTTCCTAACCATCATGTTCATTTTCTTTGCCGAATGAAAATGTATGATAGGACTTTCGAAAGAAATTTATCTATTTTCTGTGTCTCCTTGCTCTCCGTCCTGTGTTTTGCCCCCACCCGTAAAACCTCCTCTACCACCATTCAATGCATGACACGGTCGACAGGCTAGCTCAAGTTAGTTGGAGGTCCTACACCCCATCGTTGCCAGTAAACATTGCCGTGAATATGACCGTAGGTCACCAAACTATTATTGGCATGTATTTCAGCCACTGCGTCCATTTCCGGTGCCAGGTCTCGCATTTAGGACGCGCAGACAAGGTCAATAGACTATGTCAGCCACCGCGCCAATTCTCCGCACCTGTCAGCTGACCGACTCGGACAGTAGCTGTGACCTAGGAGTGGGGATCGAGAGTGAAGTCGACGACCCAACTCATTTTCAGCACCATAGAAAATCTGACGCGCTTAGATCTATCAAGGTGCACTAAAAGCCGTGGCCTGAAAGGTTGCTAACCGACGGGAGAACTTGGACCTCGCGGTGGAGTGGCGGACTGGAGGACTGAGAGTCAGACTGCCCTGGCTCCCATGATATGGCTTCCCACTCCGTGAAATCCCAGCTTCCACTCTTCTCTTATTGTGCGTGCAATTCTGGTCAATGTGTGTTGCTGACTAGGGGGTGTGGTGGTACGCCTAGGTGTGGCTTTTCGCCGCGCCAGCCACTTGCGGCCTCCGGTTTTCTTGACTCCGTCTTGAGACCGGAGGGAACGGTGGGCGCTGTGTAAGTCTACTGTCATTGTAAAAATGTAGCATCTAAGTTGTGAGAGTGTGTACTCAGAGCTCGTCTGGGCTGTTCTTCCCGAAGTGCATTGGACCGAATGCAGGCGAACCCCAGTATAATGTTATAAGTACGTGTTACTTTCCCAGTTAGGATTGACTTGCAGTTCCTAATACACTTTCTCGTGGCCATTCGTGTTGTCCACAATTATCGAGCGCGCATACGTTCCACGTGATTTCAAGTACCAGGCCGGGTCATAACAGTGCACTAAAAGCCGTACCCTGGAAGGTTGCCAACCGATGGAAGAACTTGGACATCGCAGTCAGCCCAGTGTGTGGAGTGGCGGACTGGCTGCCAGACTGCAATGGTTCCTTCATAGTGCGACTTCTGTGGCACTCCCACTCCGTGAAATCCCAGCCACTCCCTCTTCTCTTATTGTTTGTAAAATTCTGGTCAGTGTATGCTGGACTTTTAATATCTAAGCCGTGAGAGTGTGTACTCAGAGCGCTACAGTCATCAGGCCAAATCTCGTGTTGTAGGAAAAGATAGAAGTCAACAGATTGAGCGATTTATTGTATACAGAACCCCGAGTTGTCCTTTCTGGCGGCGGGTGGCCGCTGGCGAAGCCACGGTAGGTGTTGACTGCGTCTAGTCATGACTGAGTGTCCTTCGGAGAGTGGTGACTGCCGCTTTTGTAGGTTTTTGGGCCAAGTTGCAGAGGAGCCCAGTCGGTGTGTGCGGACGTGTCGTCGGATGGTGTTCAAGTGGCTTGTGTTGAGTTCGCAGGGACGTGGTGCGCTCAACTGACGTAGGGGCAGTTACTACTCTGTGCGGACGCAAGTGCGCCCCATTTGAGGTCGGTCGAGAGGCTGCGGGTCGGCGCGTCTGGAAACGCTCACTGTAAAAGTGGATGACCTTAACGCAGCGGGGCCCTGAACAAGACGCCAGACATAATCGTGGTGGCTGTTGGCAACAAACTAATTCACACACACAAGCCATCCTGCCGTGGAGCACACGGTGGACATCGTCAGTAACAACGGCCAAACTGTCACGTCCTTTACGGACTAATTTCAAGGATGGCTTTCTCGTGACTGAATTATGAAGCGTTTTTCTCCAGCTCGTCTGGAATATAGGTAGGATGTGGTTATGTAACCCCACCTGATGTACACAATACTGTTGGGTTAGGGTCTAGGGCTGCGGTTAAGGGTTAGGATTAAGGTTAAACGGTTAGGGTTATGGTTGGGGCTAGGGTTAGGGTCAGGGCTTAGGGTTAGCTATTAGGGTTGGGAGTCAGGGTTAGGAGTTGGGGCAACTATTGCTCAACTATTCCAAGTACAATCCCGCATCCTTAATAGGTCTTCTTTTGCATACAATTGCTTGACCTCGTCGTCTATGCGTTCCTCGGCCCTACCTGCAAAACCCCTTTTACCACCGGTCCTGTATTACAGGTGGCTGGGGTGTGTTTACTCCAGATGTGGCTAAATAACCATGTCTGGCCGAAATGTAAGCATATATGAGACAGAGAATAAACCTTGATGTAGAGAGAGAGGCAATTCTCAAACAGGAAACTAGAAAACTCATCTACTGACCATGCCTACTTTTTCATGATTGCGCTGAAGAAGACGGCATATTTGCCGTCCTACCAGCCTCCTTTTTCAGATACATCCTACAGCCCATTGAATATTTCCGGTATTTGTCTGCAGTTAACCTACCTTTTTTAGGGTCTTTGTCGAAAGGCTCACTTCGATCCAAACTGAAAAGAATGTTCTCCCTGACATGGCACTGAGCGTTGTTCAGCACTTTATGTGGCGCCACACTAAAAGGGGTTTGTTTATTGGGACGCAGGTTCCAATCAGTTTATTCAGCAGCCCATCTTGAAAGGCCGTTCAGCTCTCAGTGGAAGACTCATAGGTCAAGTGACTCAACATGTTTGTTTGCGCAGCTCACTGAGGCCGTCTGGGTGTATATCATGCACTCCGTCCTTTGACCTACTCGAGTGTTGGCGGATCTTGATGCCCTTTCTGTCTTACTGCTGGATGAACCGTCGGACGGATGGTAGCGCACGGCCGCGTAGGCCGCAGGCATGCCGACTGGGCGGTCGCATAACATTCACGCCAAATGAAACTGTCTCACCACGCGCTAGTCAGTCCCACCCAGGGTTTCATTTGCATGAATATCGGATTCATGATGATGCGTTTAGGTCGCAGGTGTCACCTACAACTCCAGGTCTAGCCTCAAAACGACGAGATGTTGCTTAGGCATACTCGTAGGCCAGTTTCTTCGAAATAGAAGTTTTCTCCTCAACGAAAATGAACTCGGTGGAAAACCAATGGCTTCTTTACGCTAGGAATGGAGTCTTAGGAGCACAGTATTTACCCATGCAGCGTAAGGTTTTGCTTGCGGAGACTTCAGTTTCTGACGAAGGAGGGAATCAAGTCACGATCTCCAACACGTTGCTTATCTGCGAAACATTTCGTTCTGAACGTGGCTAGTCGATTTTACATCCGAGTCCCTTTGGGGTCTTTGGTTCCTTTCCGAGAACGCTTATAGGCATAATCAGACTCCGAAAAGCCGTAAGTAATGAACAGATTTCCTTACAACTACGTCATGCATAAAACCGGCAAAATACGTGCCTAGGCTTTTGGCTAGTGTCAGCGCTGTCAGTATGGTGAATCATGCATCCTCTGTGTCACTACCGTCTGCCTTTCGACGACATGTGAACACTACGTGATTATTCTGCTAATGCTGGTGGATTTTAGTTCAAATATCCATACCAAACTTCGGATGGAGCCTGAAAAATTTTCTTGCGAACCATTTACTCGAAGTTCGCGGATTAAATACAGAGGGAATAAAAAGTCTGACATTCCTTTCTACAATTCATTTTGACTTTGCGTAGCCAAGAGGCGAAAGCTAAATAGATGGCAAAGGCCATTAAACAAAAACACACCAGAGCTCAGTATGGCTGGCTGACGAGTGCTGAAAAGTTCCGAAACGTCCGTTGCATGAGGTTCCCCTATTTTTTTGGCGGCACACCGTTGAGAGTCCTTATCTTCTTCTTCTTCTTCTTCTTCTTCTTCTTCTTCTTTTTCTTCTTCTTCTTCTTATTATTATTATTATTACTAGTATTCTTATTATTCTACCTTCGAGGTTTAAGATGGATAAAATAAAACGTTTCCTTCACTCTGACCTGACCACAACCACGCCGCGTACAATGGTTCCAAACAACGTGAGCTGCGGGGAAATGAAAAAAGCCCTTCATTTTTTGCCCACTACAAGGCTTCATATGGTCTCAAATTCCGCCAACCGTAAATAAGGCGACTGTAATCATTCCCAACAAGAGTTGCACACAAAGAGGACTATTGAACTGAAGTGGTCCAGTCAGCCAAATGGGAAATAAAAGCCACCATTGTTGGAAGGGAAAAAAGAACCCTGCAATGGAGGGCCGGGGAGGATGATGTGTCCGTCCGGCGTCCAGCAGATTGACGAAGTGAAGGCAAACAGCTTCATTGAGTACTCTTCAGCCATGTGCTCACTAGGAACCTAAACACTGTCGGTGACCTTCTGCAAATGCTGGCAACAAAGCAGCATTCACCTGACGAAGTGTCCTCAATATTTTTCTGCTTAAGTGTGACATTGTTAACAAGGTAAAGAGGGGTACTTATTTTCGCAGGAGTCTGCTTCTTTACGACGGCCAGGTAGAGTTCTGGTTTGGTGGATTGCAGTACTTTCTCTACGAGCTGCACGAAACCGCTCACACACACATTGGGGAACTGAAGGCGCAAACAAAGATGACGATTTATTAAAACTAGTTAGCGCAAATTCACTTTCTTTTATTCTATCCACGACGCCCTCTAAGATTCACTCATATCTCCTTGCCTTTTTACATTCATACTAATGACCCACAGTAACGCAACGTTTGTTTATGTGTCAAAAATGCTGATGACATTGTCATTAAGGTAGGTGTCGATTACGTTGTCCTGGTCCAAAGAGTAATCGCAATGTGGGCATTGCAAGTAAAGTTGGCCGAAGGTTGATGTTAGAATCGTTAGTGGGAAAGTAGCCAAAGCTAAAACTGAAAAGGGCAATCTGATATTTCTGTTTAGAAGTAGGGTTAGTTTTAGGGTCTGAGTTAGTGACGGGCTGATAATTGAGCTAAGGGTTAGAGCTTGCCTTAAGTTTAAGGGTTACGGTTAGAATTGGGGTTTGAATTGTGGTTTAGGTGTACGTTTGGTGTTAAAGTCGGGGTTAGGGTTAGTGTTAGGTTAAGGTTCGAGTTAAGGTCAACGTTAGGCTAAGGCTTAGGATTATGGCAAGGGTTTGTAGTAGGTTTAGGGTTAGGTTTAGTGTTAAGCTTAGAAGTAGCGTTAGGTGTATAAGTACGTTAAGGAATGGGTTTACTTTTAAGGTTATGATTAGGTTTGGGGTATCGCTGCCCCGCGTGTCCTGTCAGCCAAGTCTTTTGTGGGGATTCTAGACTTCCTTCATTCTCGCGGCAGATTTGTCATACATCAGGTTGCCTTTTCCATTTCAGCCTTGGTTACTTTCTCCACTAACGATCGCAGCATCCCACTTCGGCTTACTTTCCTGTCACTGCCTACGCTACGCTAACACTGGCGACCAGGGCAGTGTAACCGTCATTAGTTGAGAAATGAATACACCAACTACCAGGAAGACGTGAATAATCAAACAGGTTTTTACGAGTTTCCATCTCCATGCTCTTCGATATTTCTCCAGTAAAGTCGAATGCATTTTATTCCACTTTTGTAGTCCCTTCTGGTCGCTTAAGGTGACATCATTTTGCATAAAATTCGGAAAATTATATAGTTTGGTGGATACCTGCGTCCCCTTCATAACTCCCCAGTCCCTAATCCAGTGATTCGTCAATACGCACATTCACTTTCCCGCTCTCCCGTCGGTACTTTGTTGCAGTAAGTGGGATACCTGCGTCATTACACGTGTGCCCTGTTTGCTTTCTTCCGCCATCAGCGTTTCAAATTTTGTTTTTCAAGTCGGCGGCACATTGCAAAGGTCAAATTCCCGCCGATCGCACTCTCCTTCCTCCTCCATTTTGGCCAATCGGCAGCCAAATCTCTCTGTTCGATCCCAGCGCGGAGTTCATCGCATTCCCTGTGGAGACTCTGTCAGTCCATTCCTGCAATGAGTTCTGGGATAAAACAGAACCAAAATACAAAAATGGTGGTCCCACTTGTCATTCAGACTTTATGGCCGACTACTAGGGAGAGTGAATTGTGAAACAATTTCTCCCCAACATGAACTTGAAACAGACATACACAGCAGAAGTTATTGATAAAAACTGATTTGGCTACAATTGCAACCCGTCGCTGCATAACAGATATAACGAATGAGAACGATGCAG